GCGGGGGGGGGGGGGGCGTCAAGAGGCAGAACTGACCTCCTCCCCATTCTTCCTTCCAGCGGGTGATCGCGGCTGTGATCGCGGCCTCCGTGGTGGGCCTGGCGGAGCTGTACATGATGGTGCAGGCCATGGAAGGGGAGCTGGGGCAGCTGTAGGGCGGGGCCAGGCGCCCAGGAGGCCCTGCGGCCGCTTCCTTCGGCTCCTCCGGACCCCCCTCACTCCGGGGAGGGGGCATCCGGACCCCCGGCAGCCTTCCACAGACCCCCGAGGGGCCACTCAGGAGGACGGAGCCCTCCGCCCAGCCTGGACAGAGACGCAGCTCTGCCCCCCCCCCCCCCCCCCCCTCTTCCGCCCCCGGGGGGGCCCCCCCCACCACCTGCGGGGGGGGGCCCCCCCCCCCCCCCCCGCCGGGGGTCCCCCCCGGGGGGGGGGGGGGGGGGGGGGGGGCCGAAAAGCCGCTTCCCATCTGGGGCTGCTGGTCCCATCGGTCGCAAGGGGAGGAGCTGCCTCAGAGCGGACGTCCACATGGGAGCCCCTGCTCGGCCCCCTTCGGGGGGGCTTTTGGGGGGGGGGGGCAAGGGCCTTGCTTGCTCAGCTGGGCAGGGTCTCCCCCACAACTACCCAATCCTGGTGTCCTGTGATGACAGTGGATGACTCTGTTGTGTGCAATAAAAAAGTCCCTGACAAAACTGGCGTGTGGGACTCTGCAGGAGCTGCTCCAAGCCCCCTCTGGGCTGGAAGGGGAGGGGCTGCCCCCCATTTGTGTCCTTCTGTGTTGGGGGGTGAGGGGCTCCTTGATCCCTGCCACCCACCGGCTGCCTGGGAACGGGGGGGGGGGGGGCCCCCCCTTTCCCACCCCCCCCCCAAGCCCCCCCGGGTGCGGGGGGTCGGGGGCCCCCTGGCAGGGGTGGGGGGTGGGGGCTGCGCACTGAGGCCCCCTCTCTGCCCTCCCCCGCTGGGCTGCTTCACCTCTGCTCCCCCCTCCCCAGCTTCTCAGCCAGCCCCTCCAGCTGCCTTGTTCTGCGGATGCAAAGCAGCCCCCTTGCGGGTGGGGTGGGGTGGGGTGGGTCCTCTGGCCACCCAAGGAGGGATGGAGCTGGGGGGGTCCCCCTCTGAGTGCAGCTGGGGGGCCTGCAGACCCTCCCTCTTCAGAAGGCATGCTATCACTCAAGCCCCCTCCCCACATTCCCGAAGGGGCTCCCCCCCCCCTGCGCCCAAGCAGACAGAGGCGGACAGGCTGGCTGGGTGGGAGGGAGGCTTTATTGGTCCGGTCAGCAGGTCCAGAGGCTCCGGGGGGGCCCCCAACTCACAGCAGGTCCTCCGGGGGGCAGCCCAGCCAGTATTTGGCGATGGGGCGGGGGTACCTGGGGTAGACCCAGTCCACCCGCCGCGTGTGCAGGTTGACCCGGTAGTACTTGTCTGGAAGAGAAAGGTCACGGGGGGGGGTCAGCCCCAAGAGCCCCAGCCCCCCCTCTTCCCCACCCCTGCGTGGGCGAGGATGGCAGAATTCCTCGGCCAGTTTCCCGAAGGGGCCCCGTAATGCAGGGATTTGGGGAGTTGAAGGCCCGGAAATCGTTTAGGGCCCCTGCGAGGCAGACCACCCAGGAACCGATAGGTTGGGGGGGGGGGAGCTGCTGCTTCTGGGACCAAGGATGCCCCCCCCACCCCCCTTGCTTTACCTCC